GTACCAGGCAAGAGACGCATGCTGTGGCTGGATTCGCGGAGGGGAGTCGGACAGTGATTGCGAGGTGACAGTGTGCGCAATCGAGAGTGAGGAAAGGTAATATAATGACGGGGCACCGAGAGAGATTACATGGGAGGGAAGGGACTGCGGCAAGCTGTGTCGTTTCATGGCATTCCTACCTCGTGGCAAGCTAATACTCTCGCAGGCAAGCATTCAGCAGAGAAAGGAAGCTGCCGAGGGGATCATGACTGTTCGTCAGATCGACGGTGCAGCAGATCGACGGTGCAGCAGAGCGGAGTAGTAGGTAGCACCAGCACAAAGGAAATCAAGAGCCAGTACTTAATGTAGGCGACACAACAGGAAGGGAAACGACAAGAAGAAGAAGAAGAAGAAGAAGGGATTGGAGAAAGAACAAGAAGGATAGCATCTAAACTAACAACGATGATGACGAGGACGATAGCCGTACTACCGGTAGCAACATAGTCACTCGGAGAATCAAAGGACAGAACTTACTCAAGAAGAAGAAGAAGAAGAAGAAGAAGAAGAATTTAAGGATTGTGGAGGGGGACAAGGACAAGGCGAAGAAGAGATTAACTTTGTGCGATTCTGGTTGTAATGTTGAAGATTAATAAAATGGGGGAGGAGGACAAGGACAAGGCGAAGAAGGACAAGAATGGCGCGAATGCTGGTGAAGCACATCGTCGAGTATAGTTTGAACTTCATTCTCGCAAATTAAAAAAAAAAAAAAAAGGGCTTCATCACGGCCTCCTGAGAAAGACGGTATGTGCAATAGGAGGCAGCGACGAAGGCTACGGTGTCTAGCAGTACAGCCTTAGTGGCATTGCTAGAGGGGTCGATGGCAGCCTTATTAGGGGTGTCAGCTTCGTGCTTAGTGGGGTCGAGGGCAGCCTTATTAGGGGTCCCCATCAGCTTTTGCCAATGGACGAGTTACATCATTAAAAGGTCATGAACCAAGTCCCATAACTGCAAGACGAAGGTAACCCGTTGGCAGATTAATGGGATAATATGCGGCAGCAGAGGGCTTAGTGGGATTAGACTCCGTCACTCCCAGTCTTTGAGTCATTTACAGTGTAGAAACTCTCCGTAGGAGCAGCAGAGGTTCCGGCCGACGACGACGAAGTGCCAGTCGTTGTTTTTTTTTTTTTTTTTTTTTTCCAGCTACGTTTTATTCTTCTCACAAATTATTTTCTGCCTTCAACTACCTACCTGCCACTACTCCTAAGGCTATGTAGTTTTTTTTTTGAGAACATCTTGGTGGGAGGCCTCAGGCAGTGGGGTAGCACATTAAGGCGATCCGCCTTGCACTGTGTGACTGCAGCACTAGAAACGAGCAATACCAACAATAGCAACATGTCAAAGATGTAGTGGATTCGTTGTACATCCCCGGTCGAGAGCGAAAAGGTCTTCTTCTTCTTCTTCTTCTTCTTCTTCTTCTTCTTTTTTTTTTTTTTTTTTTTTTTTTTTTTTTTTTTTTTAATTCGGTGGTAAGATGTCGTAGTGTACATTTTTTGTTAATTTTGTAGAGTTGCTGAGTAGAACGAAGGCGAATTCGATACCTCTGGCCATTTTGCTTCAGCTTCTCCACCCTCCTGCACTCTGTCCCTCCCTTCTCCTCCTCCTCCTCCGAGTCGCTTATGTGAGGCTATTGCTCATTGACAACCCCCTTTTCTTCTCCTACTCATCCTTCTCCTCGGGCATACAAGCCTAGTGCGAGCATATACAACAACCCCCCGCCTCCTCTCCTAGTCATCCTTCACCCCGGGCAACAACACCCTTGTATATTGTAATCCCCTCATTTGCTTCTCATCAAAGTGCAGTCCACGTCAGTCTCTCCGGATCCATCAACTGGCGTCCCGATCGCTCTCGCTTCTTTCGTCATCCTCCTCCTCTTTCTACATCCTCTTCCTCCCCATCACTTTCGTCCCTCATTGCTCTCCTTCTCCTCCTCCGTTCTCTTTTTTTAATTTTTATTATTTTTTATTATTCCTCCTCTCGTTCCTCTTTCTCCTGCTAGCACACGAAGACCC